AGAAAATTAAATATCTTATAATTTTTCTTTTGATTGCAATTTTTGCTACAGTTGTTTTTTGTGTTGCCTGTGATGAAAGTCGCAGTATGCAAGACATAGGGATAACAATCCGTCGGCAATGGCGTAAACTATTTAAAAAGCTTTATATTTCAGAAGGTAGAAGACCTGGATGCTTCATACCTTGTATGCAGATACCTTATGTTACGAAGTTTCCGTCTGTCATATGTCCATTGTTCTTGACCTCATTTTCATGGTTCAGTAACTGCTTGAACAAAAAAAAATTGTGAAATACTCACTTATTATGAGAAATAGGATAACTATATTTGCTATATGCAAAGTCTACATGTATGCCAGGTAGGGTTCACCTGACCTCGACCTCATTTCATGGATCAGTGATAAAGGTTTTAGCTATGTGGTCAAGTCCATATCTCATATTCTATAAGTAATAGGTCAACTATATTTGGTGTATGGAAATATTGTAAGGTGTGCATGTCCGAATGGCAGGTTTCATCTGACATTGGCTTCGATTTCATGATTTTTTGGACAATGTTTAGTTTTTGTGGCTTGGTCTATTTCTCAGATACTATAAGCAATATTTCAATTATATTTAGTTTATGGAACAACTGTAAGGTTTACATGTCTGTCTGGCAGTTTCATATGACCTTGACATCATTTTCATGGTTCATTGGTCAATGATAAGTTTTTGTGGTTCTGTCAGTTTATCAGATATTATAAGCAATAGGTCAATTATATTTGGTGTATGGATTGATTGTAAGGTGTACATGTCTGTCTGGCTGTTTCATATGACCTTGACCTCATTTCATGGTTCATTGGTCAAAGTTTTTGTATTTTTGTCAGTTTATCAGATATTATAAGTATTAGGTCAATTGTATTTGTTGTATGGACAATTGTAAGGTGTACATGTCTGTCTGGCATGGTTCATCTGACCTTGACCTCATTTTCATACAACATTGATAATGTAAAGTTTATGTGATACTTGTAGTAAAACCTTCATATTACAGATTTTGAACATATATTCAATCATACGTAAAGCAGACTAGACAATTCAGCGTGTGCACTCTTGTTTTGCAATAAGCCAATAATTATCCTACCTCTCTTCTGAATAATCTCTTACAGTATATGCTTTACATTACTTGTACAGATCAGCTTTTTAACACTAATTTCTTTTGGTTTTAAAGTTATCACACACTATGAAAAATTTCATAGTATGACAGTAACTAGTTCAAATCAGAACCCAATATTAACTAGAGTCCTATAACAAAGCAAAACATAAAAAAACAAACTTTTCAGCTATGTTTAAATTTATGTTGATCCATTTGTATTAAAAAAAAAGAAGTAGCTTTTGTCTACTACCACCTATCAGCAAGACAACATCACTATCTGATAACTTATATAATTACTTCAATATAAACAAGAGCTTTATAGCTTGCTGTTTGGTGTGATCCAAGGCTCTGTGATGAAGGCCGTACTTTGACCTATTATTGTTAATTTTTTATACATTGTGACTTGGATGGAGAGATGTATCATTGGCACTCATACCACATCTTATTTATAAGAACTGTAAAAAGTAGCAAAATAGAGAAATTGGATAGCCTAACAAGAAACAGGAAGTAGCACACTTAAGCTGTATGTGCCAAAGATTTCTGAAGTTTAATGGTTTTCATCAACAACAAAAATTAATTTCAGGGCATCTAGTAATCAACATTATTCAAATTTGAATCATGCCAGCTTGTGATATTACTTGTGTGTTCAGTAATATATGAATACAATCTAATTGACTGATCCATTCACTCATTCTTTTATTAGCTCCCCTGGACAAAGGCCATGTTAGCTATTACCATCACTTGGCATCTATTGTCTGTATTTTAACATTTTACATTTATATCTTTTCCTTGAGAATCACTGAATAAAGTGAAATCAAATTAATTAACTGAACTTCTCAATAAGTGTTGAATCAATTGTAACCAAACTTAACAGATATATTCCTTTGAAGGTTCTTAACAAATTTTCATACTTTCAAGTTTGGTGCTGATTTGAAGTTCAAAATGACTGTTCACAGAGTGCAAAGTTTACATTAAAACTTATATTATTTTATTTTAAATAAACAGATGAAGTCGAATGAAGAGAAACCATGCAGTTATGTTCTTAAAAGGGTATTTACTGTGTGTTGTAACTTAAATAACTAATGAGAAGAGCAAAGCAAGTCCAAGTGACCAATATAGAACTAAATTGATAAAAATTTCACACATCTAAAGAAGCAGTGAATCAATTAAAACAAAACTTTGCTAAGTGTTATCTGATCTACTGGCATCACTTTGGTCGTGATGGAAAGTCTTACATAGCTCTGAAAGGTCACAACAGTGTTGATATTTTGGTAATACTTTTATATTCTCTGCGGTTGGATGCCATCATCAAATATGAAAATTGGTACCCAATGAACAATACTTTTACAGTGATACATAGCAACGATGTTTTTGTTGCTAGAACTATGGCTTTAATAATAATTAAAGTAAATGTTGAACATGAAAATGCAAAATATATTTAAAAAATACAACTAAATAAATACAATTTGTGAAGTACAATAAATCAATTATGTTAGTAGCCAAGGAAACTGACAAAAAAATTATTCAGTTGGTTTAAAGAAATTAACGTTTCTGAAGAAGTGCTGAACACAGCTGTAATTTCAATTTGCATCTCAACATTATTAAGCATTAAAAGTTGAAGCATATCTACTTTTATTTGTATCAATAAAAGCCAAAAACACTTTCAAAAAATTATTTCATTGTTTTAATAGTGAGGGAGTTACCATTTGATTTTTATGGGGGGCTAGGATGAAAAATTTTGTCCTGCATTTTTTTTCCACTCTATTCGGTCCTGCCTTTTTTTTTAAAGTTTATCCTGACTTTTTTTTTTACCTAAATTGTCATCTTGACTTTTTTTTTTGCAAGTGTCTCATCCTGCCTTTTTTTTAACTCAAAACTCCTGTCCTGCCTTTTTTTTCAAATTTCATCCTAAATTGCAAAAATTCGGTTGAGCGCTTACAAATGTGTTGAACCAAGCCAAATTCTTAATTTGCCTGTCCCAAGTCAGGGGCCTGTAATTAAGTGGTTGTCATTAGTTGCTGTTTGCAATATTTGTTTATTAATTTTAACACAAAATTAGATGCAAGTTTTCTCTTTTGAATGGATTCACATACTCCAGTAAATACTGCTGCTGGTGGACTATTAGTCCCCGAGGGTATCATCAGCGCAGTAGTCAGTGCTTCGGTACTGACATGATTTATAACATAACTTTCTAAAATTGTCCTTTTATGAATTAAGAAAGTAAGGTTCCAAATCCCTCAGGCAAAGTTGACCTTAGATGGATTTAGATATTTCAATTTTTTTAGACCCTTTTTGGTCTTAAAGCTCTTCACATGGTTTGGTACTTATACATCCTTGGCTTTAAAATATTTGGCTTTGCACGTTCCTGATGAATGTAAATCGATAAAATCGGATATGAATAAAATTGCTTATTTAACCTTCATAATTTTGTTAGGGTTGGTGTTGATTCATCCCATGTTTAACGTTTGCTTTTGACTTTTGCTTGCGACTATAAGAATCAATCAAAATCAAAATCTGAAAACGTCTTCAGCAGACGTCATTGTTTTTATTTCACCTGCGACCAATGCTACAGAAGCCGATACATAAGGATGATAATCCGTGTTGCTTCAGCGTAAGCTCTTTGCGTAAAGCTTTCTATATATGAAGGTAGGAAAATTGTAGATTTCATATCTTGTATACAGGTGCATTATGTTATGAAATTTCCATCTGGCATATGTTCGTTGTCCTAGACCTCATTTTCATGGTTCAAGTAATTTTTCAGTTATCATGAGTAATAGGACAACAACTTTTAGTATATAGATTTTGTGCAAGTATGCATGTCCGTTAGACAGTGCCTGGCCTTGCCCTAATTTCATGGATCAGTGATTAACGTTAACTTTTTCGGAAGTAGATATGTTTCTCAGATGCCATAAACAGTAGGTCAACTAGATATATACTTTATAGAACGATTGTAAGGTATACTTTTCGCAATTCCGTTTGGCAGGATTCATCTGACCTTGACGTCATTTTCATGGTTCATTGGTCAATTTTAAGTTTACGTGATTATGTTCGTTTTTAAGATACAATAAGCAGTAGGTCAACTATATTTTGTGTATTGAATGATATTGTTAAGTGTACATATCCATTATTTACTTGGTTAATCGGGCAATATTAAGTTTTTTGGTTGCACCCTTTTCTCAGACACTATAAACAATATGTCAACTGCGTATAATTGATGTATGCTGATTAACACATTATGTGTTATAGTAGTCTCAGATGTATGGAATTATTGTTAGGTGTACATGTCCGTCTGGTACTCCTCGGTGGCACCTTTTACATGAGTTTCCACTGAAAAATGTACATTAAATGATAAGTCTGCTAGCCGGTGTTATTCGTGTCGTACTGACACCTGGAGTAAGTATAATAGTCCCAGCTGACACATATAATTTGTTGACACAGTTAGTCTTTTCGTCCGTGTTGTTTTCTTCTTCAACGTTTTCATCCTGAATATGCATGAAATATTTGCCACTGAACATTAAACAAGCAACGCACGTTCTTCGACCATTTATGCGATGGTAGTCTCTAATTTTCTATCTTCAACTTCGTCCCGATAGATTTTCTAAGATTTTAATCGATATGATGCTGCCATATTAATTTCCGTTTTACGTAACGATGTCTAATAATGTGATGCTGTTATCGTATTTTGGATATAGATCAGTCCAATCATGGAAGTATATTAAACTTCCATGGTCCAATGTGTTTTTGGTGAAAACATATACCAGAAGCGTCGAAATAAGCATTACGTCGTTGCAGTGTAAAGCCGTAAAATGCCATTTTTACACCCCCTCCTTTTGCCAACACGATAATAGATTGGTTAATGCATAAAAAAGAATGAAGTAGGTGAAAATATGAACGTTTTATTTTGATAAAAACGGAACTTTATGAATTAAGCAACAGCATATACATTTTTAATAATATATACCCATGGATTGGGTACGAAAATTTTTCAGCGATTTTACATGCAATCTACGAATGCATGTTGATTTCAGAATTAAGAATTCAATCATATATAAGAAAGAAAGAAAAAAAAAAGCTTATGCATCATAGTTTCGATTTTAAGTAAGCTGCATAAAATATCATAAAAGTATGTGTCATGACCAATTAGCTGCTTTAACAACAAAAAGTCAATGAGGTATATAGATATACTACTAATGTTTATGATTTTGTTGACCATCTCTGTACTATATCGTCAGGTATATAGTCCTTCAACATTTCCAAGGAAACTTTTAATAAGGCTTCTTGATTTTCCATATTTCTACAAAATTTCGTTAGCGTATATAAACATTTATAAGAAAATACAAAATTCATATTTCGAAAGGTTGAGAAACAGGTAGAAATATTACACTTGTCTACCAAGTTCGTGTCATTTACATCCGAGCCAATGTCAATTCTGCAACACTAAAATAACTATTCAGAAGGAAATAGTTTACATGACATCGTCTAATTTGGATAGGAAGCAAGCGACTTTTTTGTGAATTCAAAATTTGTTAAGAAAGACAAAGATTTCGACACAACAAATGTTCATATCATTGTCCTTTGGTCTTCGGGGAATAGTTGTCTCATTGGCAGTTATACCACATGCATCTCCTCATTTTTATGAGGTTTCAACAGAATTTCTTATTATGCATTCAAAACAATTTCACAACCGAAATAACTTGCCAACACTAATGCAAATTTGTCGATTTCACGATCTTATTCGTTATGCAAGTCAAGATTACTTAAAGAGATGGTTATAACCATATGCGTATCTCTGCTTGATGCTTGATCATCAGTAAAAAGGCACTCCGCGGGTTGTATAGATGTGTCATGTCATTTGTGAACATTGGAAAAAAAGCAGTCTAATCCAATATCATTCCGAGCCCCCCGATGATTTCTTTCAGATATGCGTGTTCCTCATTGTGCAGCATTGTCATTTCTGGGCGATCTGATACCTATGATATTTGCTTTCTTTAATGTTTTTCCTCAATCGGCGGGATTTGAACCCATGCTACTATGCCATCGTGAGACATGGATACTTGCCATGATGTCCCAAAAAGCACAAAAATTGGCTACTGCAAACTTGCAGATATGACATTGTTGGGGTAAATTTCAGGCGAAGCATATACACTTCTGTTGTGTTGTCCTTGTATTACCCTGGTCTATGGCGTATAAAATACGTTTTAAAGATGTCTGCAATATCTTATTGGTACCATAAAACATAAAAGGGAAACCGGCATAAAAAATAATCTGTTTTATCATTACTGAATTGATGGCAAGATTCTTAAAAATATGTCGGAAAGATACAATTATATTTTTCGAACTGCTTCACATTTAAAAAAGTTGTGCTCATTAAGATTTTCATGCAAGGTGTTTGCAATATTTTTTTTTGTTCTGTAATCAGCCATTCTACTATACATGACCAACCTTGGCGATTTCGACAATTTGGAATTGTATGTTAGACATTGATATGTTGATTGGTATTTTGCATGACATTTATACTTTTTAACACATGTAATAAATAGAATAGCTCGACAAGCCTCGCAGTTCTCTCTATATAATCGAAAAATCAGAGACATTTTACATACTTTTCGCGGACGGAATATTATTTACACCTGCCACCAGAGATGCTTATAATTTATTCCGCGCGAAAACTTATTTTCGATTTTGTACAGATAAATATATTCTGTAATTTGTCAATGTTTGGTGGGCAAAAATATTCATTTTCATCCAGTCTTAAGCAAAATTATTTAAATAAATGTTTTCAGTTCTAACCGGAGCAGCATATTCAGTTTACAAAATCCACCTGTAACACCCCCTTTCCCCACGGGCCCAAAATTTAAATGGTCGTCCCCGTTTGTCACAGTTTACCTTGATTGACTTGACGTTGTTGCTGGTTTACAGTCTGCATAATAAACATCTCGGGTACCTTTAAGTTGTGGAGCTATTGCAGCATATATCTCAGTTTCTGCTCCTTCGAATGGGGTTTTTAAGCAATCTGATAAAAAATATTCGCTTCAATTATACTATAAAATGTGGTGTACAAGTTGCAATTTTGTATAATGTTTTAACCTGTAAAAGAAACGAAACAACAATATAAGTTATAATGTGGCTAATATTTATACTGGAAAACGCGTCAAATTATATAATGTACAAAGGTTTTTTTTACCCAACGTTGCTAAGAATTTAAATAAATAAAATATCACAACTTAAGACTGAGGTTTACTTTACAAACGGTATATACACAATATATTCATCAAAATGAAACTAAGATTCGATTTTAGAATTATATTTTCTTTTAGCTAAACATCTTTACATACCCAAAAGTAAAACATGTAAATGGCTGATTGTTTAGCATTTTGTTTGGGAATCTTTAAGGCTGTCTGTGTGACTTCAACTTGACCAATTGGTGAATGTATTGCAAATTACTATTACTATAATTACCCACTTGAAACTGAATGTTAATTGTTTACTTGTAATTATTATTACTAGTATTTCAACAGCTACTCACGACAGAATTTCATTGTATATGCAAAGCAATATAAGCAGCATGTACGAGAACATTCCATGTTCCGACCGAATTCTGTCATCACTGATCCAGGATGAGTTGACAAAACTGATATATTGGTTCCCTTCAACCTTCTATTCATGAAATACATCTGCATAACCTATAAATACATAAGTTTGCAAGTTTGTACACCATAGTATTTAGAGTGTTAGTATATCAAACGAGGTTTATTTTTTATTTTTTCTTTATTACAATTCTATGAAATTTAGGATTGTAGTATAGCAGTTTTCCCGATGTCAGTTTGAATACGACTGACATACTGGAAACTGTTCAAGAAATGTGAACGTAAAATAACACTAAAACTTCAAGGTCGACAGAGGACAAATATTTAGTAGAGATAAATGTGAAGTAAGACGAACTCAACTGACATTGTAAATTGATTAAGAGAGATTAGTATGCACTCTGCAATGATTTGATAAAAGTGAAATTTTCAATGTTACCTAACAACGGAAAAAATCAAAAATAATGTTAAATCACCTAGAGTTACTAAGAACCAAAGAATTTCCAAGTGTGTTTTTCATTGATGTCCGCTCTGGGTAAATGAAAGGACAGACAGGACAAAGAATTCTAATAATTTACTAGATTGCCAAAGCACAACTGGCAAATCTGTTGTAGGCAGTGTAAACATTTTTGATACTGGTACCCGTCTTAATCAAAAATAGGTTTGCCAGTGGTACTCTGTATACCAATGTTTGGAATTGGAATAGAAGCTTGAAACTACATTGTTTTTAAAGTCATTAAAAATGCATGGGAAACTGTTATATATAAAACTTCAAAGATTGATGTGAAATCGAAACTTTTTTGATAGTTTGCGACAATTGCAGCTACCGGGTTGTTCTGAAAATGTAATTTCCTAAAATACCTTTTCCTAGCTAAAATTACAAAAGGAGGTGGTTAGTTAAAGTCTTATGACTTTAGTTTCTCATAGGGTCATATGTACTTAGAATTATTTACTCGAGTATTGGGATTTCATGCTTAAAAAATTGTAAATCAAATTTTATGTTGAAATATATTAGACTGGTCACAACAACAGATTTGACATATAGTCCGAATGCTGACTACGATTTAAAATCTCTGAAGTTTTCTACTTCTTTTATGCATATATCAAGTAAAGCTCTTATATTCACATAATAATATTCGATTTATAATATAAAATCTTTGATTCCTACTTAACCTAGGCTAAAGACCAACTAAAAGTTACCCCAAATCGAAGACTCAGAATAGTGTATCCGAGAAGGATGGCTATTTGTTTTCCTGAAGGCTGTTGCTTGATGAGCTAGCAAGTTCGGAATCCGTGTCGGTCTAGTACAAATCATGGTATAATCATAATCTCATTGCCATATGATCGTCCTGAAAAAGAATGTTGTATTTGCCTTTGGACGTGAAGCAGTCGTACACAAGCATCGCACAAGTTGGCACTCCGACGCGGTCGGGGAGCAAAAAGGTGAACTGTGGTTTATTTTTATCAATAGTATCGCTTAAGTCGACGCCAGGGGCCGTCTTGACCTTGTTGTAGGGTATGAATGATTCGTTCATTGTTGAAGACCCTATATCAACTGTCAAGATGAAGAACAGGAATAAAAGCTCTGTTCATTGATAATTTTCTATGTTTTCTATGTATTGTGTGCGATTTTGTCCCATGTACATTTACTCCATAACCTTTCATTTTCTACTCAATCAATTAATCAATCAATAAATTTAAATAAAAGATTGATTGCTACATTTTGATCTCCCTTATGCCAACTGGTGCTATCTTACCTGGTACAATTTAGAATCACCGTAGTTACGAAAACTTTCGAAACTCTCCTCTGTCAACTGTTTTCCTTGGATCGTTGATACATTAAAAGAATGAGCAAGATTATGTCCATCACTTGATACCAACACAATTCTGCAGTCATCCGCGTCCGAACATTCCATTAGAGGAATCAGATGTATCGCTAGTAGGAACTGGCTGAGATAATTAACCTAGAATTACACATTAGAATGAAAAGTAACTATCGGATTACATTTCTAGAACTTATATACATCTTATCGAATATCTACCAACCAAAAGTGTTGACTGGTGAATAGAAGTATGATCACCTGGACTTCTCCAATCCGGCAGTAAAAATATGCTATAGAGTGACGTCTGTTCGGCTGTAATGGATGTATACATACGCAGCCACGTCCAGTTAGAATCGGAACGTTTAATCCGATGTCTCATGTAGGGAGAGAACACGTTTTGGGGGCTCGGTGGTCGAGTTCTATAAAAAGTTCACCTTCAGTGATTACTAGCCTGTCAACTCGGATGTTGTGAGTTCGAACACCGTTCGTGGCGAGAGATTTTTGACTCCGATCTTAATTGAAAAGGAGTCGAAGTTTTCCTACCGGAGTTCGTTGGTTATCTTCAGGTTTTCCGGCTTTTATTCGCTTTAGACAGTCGATTAAAAAATTTAAGTTTTTTTTATATGTAGCAGAAGCATGCTTAATTTTACATAGCTTTTCATTTTCAAATGTTTACTTATATGGCTTTAAATAAACATAACAACAGTGTTTTTACAAAAGAGGCTATATAATCTGTTTTTCTCTGGTTTATCTCGTGAAAATTCATTGTTCTTCCGTTATGTATTCGACAATACTATTAAACATACCTGAAATACCAATTCATTTTTGTCCTCTGTGAATTCTGAAGAAAATATCAAATTCAAAATAAAAATAAGGAGATGTGGTATGATTTTCAATGAGACTATTATACAACAAAGTCAAAATGATGCGTATGTAAGCAATTTTAGGTAATCGCACGGCCTTAAACAATGACCAAAGCCATACGGTAAACTTAGCCGTAAAAAGACCAAACATTGACAAAAAGTGGAAACAATTCAAACAAGAAAACTAACGGCATGATTTGAGACAAAACAATAAACGAAAAACAAATTTTACAAGACAGCAACGACAACCATTGAATGACAGGCTTCTGACTTCGAGCCACATACAACAATACTATATCCGAAATAAAAATTACGGCATATTTCTTCCTCAAGGGAGGAATACCACGCACGTTATAAGTTATGATTAGTATTCAAAGTTTAAATGAAGAAGCATGCGTTCAAAAAGCCGCTCTTGAAGAAATTTACTAGATTTTATGATCCCAAATTCCTCGATGAAACCCAAGTGTTGTGTTGTTGGGTTGTTGTCTTGTTGACTTATACCTCATATATCCTTTCATTATTTACACAAAAATGAATGTAATGAATTAGATATTTTCATCCAGTGCTTTTTAAAGTATCAAAAGTTTTGATGAATGTACTTGAGATCTTACACATTGTAAAACTAACCTACAGGGCCAAGACCTAACCCTGCATTACACACTAACGTGTGTAATTTTGTCCCGGAAGATTTGAAAGTTTCTATAAATTCCTTGGTAGACTGCAAAGATGCAAAATCGACTTGCATAAACTGTACATATATGTCACCATCTTGGATAATTCCATTTGTTTCTTTTTGCTTCTCCTCTTGGTATTCTTCCTTCATTCTTTTAATTGCCTATAGATAATAGATATAAGAAGATAAAACTGTTTAACACATTTTTTGGACACTTACACTGCTTTTAAATTACTGTTATCATGCACAATTATCACCACACAATCTGTAAGAATGGCTGCATGAATAAAACATGTAGTACAAGTAAACCGAGGTCAAGAGTCAAAAATATAAAAAAAAGTCCAGGTATATAAACTAACATTAGGTGAAATCAGCAAACACTCCAATATAATCATTAGAATTTAGGTTGATCTGTTAACTGACCATATTTAGAACATGGTCTAAATTAAACAGAGCTATGAAAATGGTATTGGTTGGTTAAATTGTTTTTTTACTTAAGCATATGACAACTGAAACCATAGCGTTGATCTTAGATCCAAGTTTTGGTCGCTCTTGTGTGTCAATTGCTAGAATACGATTTATATTCATAAAGCAGGCGTTGGTACCTATATATGAAATCTTGATTGTAGAGTTTAACTTGGATGCTTGACAGAATTGCATAAGCTCTTATGGAAAAAATAATAGCTGCACGAAAGGACATTATCAATATATCCGACTGAAAATGAAATTAATAGGTTTGGAAGGTATTTGTCTTGTCTTGCTTCATATAAGTACAATACAAAGTAAGTTAGAGCATGGAAGTACAATATTGTAATTTTATTGTTATAAGTAATGCAATATGATATTTGTTATTGATACAAACTATCTATTAAAACCAGTATCAATCCTTTAAACTCAACAGACACATTTGTTCATTAAAAATGGCTGATAATCCGAGCAGTAAACTTATTTTCATGAACATTTTATAAGTCAAATTGCCTTACTTACGTAAAAATTATGTCACCCAGAACAAAAACATATAGATGATCGTTAAAGTACTTATTTTGATGATTTATACCATAATTCGAACAGAGGAAAGAGAAAAAAGGAGAAAATTTGTCATTTTCATATAATTTTCTAGGTCCAGTAAATAGTCCGTTTTCAAATGAAATGGGGTTCAACTAGAATTCATGTAATTATTACTACTTATTATTCACCTGAAAACTAAGCTTTAAAAGAATATTTACAGAAATACCGATAAAACAGATATTTTTGAATGTTTTCCCCTATGTATATTGATAAAAGAAAAGGCATGTTTGGTCATAAATATAATATGGCAACTATATGCAACAAGAACGGCCTTCAGCAATGTGAATAACCCATACCGTATAGTCGGCTATAAAAGGCGCCGACATGAAATATATAAAACAATTTTACTACATGTTTTGCTCAAATTATAAACCATGGGTAAAAGTCTTCATTTTAGGGCAATGACTGTTGTAAGAAGTGGATTCACAATCTCGGCTTTGTTGACCTATTAGTAGATTTTGTCTTGCTGATCACTTTTACTGTTTACAGTTTCTCTTTATCTTCTATGGCTTTTCCCAACCCATTAACGGGAGAAAAAGTCTTTTTAGGGCAATTACTCCTGAAATGAGTCAACTGACAATTACGGCAATGTTTACTCATTTACAGATCTTGTCTCGCTAATCGTTTTTGCTGCTTATTGTTTTCTTTATCTATTATAGTTTTTGCATAATATGGAAAAGTTGGGTAAAAAAAAATCTCCTTTATTGGCAATTACTCCTAAAAGAAGTTGATCCATGATTTCACCCATATTAACTTATTTGTAGATCTTGTCTTGTTGATTTTTTTTACAATTTGAAGTTTCTCTCTATCTACTATAGTATTCAAGATAATAGGCAAAATAAAATAAAAAAATGACAAAAATCATCATTTAAGAGCAATGAGTCCTATAAGGAGTCGTCTGACAGTTTTGGTTTAAAAGACAGAGAAAGACTCCAACATTTTGAATATTTCTGCCCATCAGATTTTGTCTATAGCTGTTCTTTAGATAATAGACAAAGCTGAAATTTTACTCCTATGTTATATTTTTAGCCATGTCGGCCATGTTGGATGGAAGGCGGAGTCACGAACACTCTTTTTTAAAACTAGATATCCCAAGGCCAATGATAATTGTGGTCAAGTTTGGTTCGAATTGCGGCACCGTAGTTTCAGAAGAGGAGAATTTTGTAAAGGTAAACGGAAGAGGACGAACGATGACGACGGACGTCAAGTAATGAGAATAGATCACTCTGATCCTCGGGTCAGGCGAGCCATGAAAATTAAGGGAATTTGGTTTCAATATAAAACTGCACAATTGTCCGTCGCTTAAGATCTGTATACTTTGGTGTGGTTCAATTTTATTATTCGGTTGTCACTTTAAACTACGTCTTCTTAGATTTATATTTGCCAGTATTACCTCACGAGCTCTCGTCTCCGATCTACATGCTATTATCACTTTTGCGCCTAACATTGCGATCCATTTCGCTGTTTCATAACCGATTCCTATAAAAGAAAGATATGCAACGGAAAGATAGATATATTTTTTATGATAATCATTTTAACTTGACAAGCTATATTAACCAAAAACAGTTTACTGAATATTTTCAGTAATGAGTGATTTACTCCAAAATACCGGGGTTGGTATTCAGATCTTGCTCCACCAATGATACCCGTTGAGTTGCTCATGGAAAGTTAAAACTCGATGATTTCATAATCTAGGAAAGGATGATGAGATTATGGATACCATAATTGAAGCATATCCGAGGCCATCTGTGACATACAACCAAATCATGATGGCGTCCATAAAACATTCGAAGAAATTATTTCAGTGTAACAAATATGAACTCTTGGACAAATAGCTGCATCGTAGCTAAGTAATGCAATGAATTATATACTACATTTTGATGAAACGACATTAATTTAGTAGTACTTAGAAGTTTATTATTGATTTTCAATTTATTTTCATGTTTCAAGAGAAGAGTTTGAGAGTTGACAAACACAATGAATTACTGCAAATCTTTTTCATGAAGCTAAAGTTAATATATGTATAGTTGTTAGTAAAAATCTTTACTCACCAGTATTACCACCCGTCACTATAACAACCTTGCTCCTGTCTAATGGCTCTCTTGGAAATGAAGTTCCTCCGCCCATGTCTTTAACTTATTCAATATACTTCAAAGAACATTCATTTCTTAAAATATCAAAATAAATCTGTAATACTATTTTCATTGAGTATATCCCAGTGAAAATCAATGTTTTACCTGTGACAAATATAAAGGTAGTATATCTATGTTCAGTATACCACTATTAATAGTCCAGGCTTGAAACAGTGAACTTTCCAGTCATATATCGTTTTGTTTATTATTCTGAATTAGAAGCTCTCTGCTGGAATTTTACAATAATATTTTAAAGATATGTATTTTAAAATATTTTTAATTATAAGGACTAAAATTTTTCAGATAAAATTCCCTTACTTTTTTTTTTACATTCTGAACTCCAATCGGATAGTTTCACTAGAAAAAAGAAACCATTGATGTATTTGAATAGGAATAAAGATTCATTGAAAGTTACTTAAGAAGAACCCGTTTAACTCTAATCTGATATGTACCTAGTGCTGATGGAGGGAAATTCTCAAAGGGTTGACAAATTTAAATGCAAAAAGAAAGACAGTTTTGCTCAATCATACAATTATATGCACTGAATCTTAAATTTTTGTACAAATTAGGTTCTGTCTGCCATATTTATTTTTCGTTTATTGTTTTGTCACAAATCAAGCCGTTGGTTTTTTCGATTATGGTTTTGTCACAAAACGTTGGTTTTTCGTTTATAGCTGACCAAATATTTAAAGCTAAACGTTGACTATTGTTGCTTAATTCCATGTCTTTTGGACTCTGGTGGAAAATTGTTTTCTTGGCGATCATATTACACCTCAATATTTTATGTTCAGAACAGACCAACAAGGTTCTGTATCGAATGTACTCAACTGCTTGACGTAGATTATAATTGCTCGGTGATTGTTATTAAATATTATGGCGAATAACACAATTAACCATATTGGTAAATGGTATTCCCAGTCGATTAAGATGTTAATATGTTAGATATATATATATATATATATATATATATATATATATATATACAAGTCTAAATTGAAAACAACGTTCAAACCTATGATTGCGTTGGATAAAAACCGCAATTTTTATACGTGTGCATGCAAAACAAATTTCTTGGTAGAGTGGTCTAAATACAGCAGAAACAACATTTTCCAAAAGACCAAAAAGAGTGAAAAAGTATATTTTAACAAAACGCATTTGACTAGCAAGTCGAACAACGGATGTTCTTAAACCCTGCTGACTGCCATGGCGATTGCCAAAAAAACGGATCACCAGATGTAAAAATGGATCTTAATTTATTAATTAAATACCAAACAGAAAACAATATATATATATATGCAGTCTGCAGGGTTTTAGAACATCTGTTGTTCGACCTGGTAGTCAAATGCGTTTTGTTAAAATATACTTTTTCACTTTTTTGGTCTTTTGGAAAATGTTGTTTGTGCTGTATTTAGATCCCCTCTACCAAGAAATTTGTTTTGCATGCACACGTATAAAATTGCGGTTTTTATCCAACGCAATCATAGGTTTGAACGTTGTTTTCAATTTAGACTTGTTTATATTTTTTCGTTTGGGCTTGTATTATATTTGCCTTCGGGTTTATATGATCCGTTCATCCTATTTTGACTCCTCAAAATTCAAGAGTCTATCCTAAATTGAGGTAAATTGTATGGCTTTCCAAATACTGCTTCGATTCCTAACATCACTGAAGAGACATTAATTGTCGAAATCCGGATATGGTGTACAAAAACCTTTGGCACTTTTGTTTGCGGTATGCCATCTTTTCCGCAAGTTTATTGTTTTCTGTTTGGTATTGAATTAATAATTAAGATCCATTTTGTTACATCTGGTGATCCATTTATTTGGCAATCGTCATGGCAGTCAACAGGGTTTGAGAACATCTGTTGTTCGACCTGCTAGTCAAATGCGTTTTGTTAAAAGATACTTTTTCACTTTTTTGGTCTTTTGGAAAATGTTGTTTGTGCTGTATTTAGACCCTTCTACCAAGGAATTTGTTTTGCATGCACACGTATAAAAAATGCGGTTTTTATCCAATGCAATTATAAGTTTGAACGCTGTTTTCAATTTAGACTTGTTTATTTTTTCGTTTGGTCTTGTATTATATTTGCCTTCGGGTTTATATAATCCGTTCATCCTATTTTGACTCTTCAAAATTCAAGAGTCAATCCTAAACTGAGGTAAATTCTATGGCCTTCCAAATACCGTTTCGATTCCTAACATCACTGAAGAGACATAAATTGTCGAAATCTGGATATGGAGTACCAATTTGTGCACCTTAGGTTTGCGGTATACCATCTTTTCCGCAAATTTATTGTTTTCTGTCTGGTATTAAATTTATAATTAAGATCCATTTTACTACTTCTGGTGATCCCTTTATTTGGCAATCGCCATGGCAGTCAGCAGGCTTTAGGAACATCTGTTGTTCGACCTGCTAGTCAAATGCGTTTTGTTAAAATAAACGGATCACCGATGTAATAAATGGATCTTAATTATAAATTTAATACTAAACAGAAAACAATAAACTTGCGGAAAAGATGATATACCGCAAACAAAAGGTGCAAAGGTTTTTGTACACCATATCCGGATTTCGACAATTAATGTCTCTTTAGTGATGTTAGGAATCGAAACAGTATTTGGAAAGCCATACAATTTACCTCAATTTAGGATAGACTCTTGAATTTTGAGGAGTCAAAATAGGATGAACGGATCATATAAACCCGAAGGCAAATATAATACAAGCCCAAACGAATAAATATAAACAAGTCTTATTTGAAAACAATGTTCAAACCTATGATTGCGTTGGATAAAACCGCAATTTTTATACGTGTGCATGCAAAACAAACTTCTTGTTAGAGGGGTCTAAATACAGCACAAACAACATTTTCCAAAAGACCAAAAAAGTGAAAAAGTATATTTTAACAAAACGCATTTGACTAACAGGTCGAACAACAAATGTTCTTAAACCCTGCTGACTGCCATTGGCGATTGCCAAATAAACGGATCACCGATGTAATAAATGGATCTTAATTATAAATTTCATACTAAACAGAAAACAATAAACTTGCGGAAAAGATTAAATACCGCAAACAAAAGGTGCAAAGGTTTTTGTACACCATATCCGGATTTCGACAAATAATGTCTCTTCAGTGATGTTAGGAATCGAAACAGAATTTGGAAAGCAATACAATTTACCTCAATTTAGGATAAACTCTTGAATTTTGAGGAGTCAAAATAGGATGAAATGATCATATAAACCCGAAGGCAAATATAATACAAGCCCAAACGAAAAAATATAAACAAGTCTAAATTGAAAACAACTTTCAAACTATGGCATGGTATTGGTTGCAAAAATTTGATATTTTTCATTTAAATGCAATATTTCTTATTTAATTGGTATATTTCTTCATTTAAATGCAATATTTTTTTATTTGAATGGTATATTTTTTCATTTAAATGCAATACTTTTTATTCAGATGGTATAATTTTTCATTCAAATGGTATAATTTTTCATTCAAATGGTATAATTTTCGTTCAAATGCAATATTTTTTATTCAATTGGTTTAAAATGTCATTTGAATGCGATATCTTTTATTCAATTGGTATAGTAGTTTTTTATTTATATGCAATAATTGCATTATGGGAAATTCTTTGACGTCATAAGGGCAAATTTGCAACAACGTTTGTTATTGGTCGGTAATTGTTTGGATTTCTCCACTTTCTTTCTAAACTTGAGTGACCAAGAATTAAAAAAACGCGTCAGAATATCGCCCCTCTAACTGAATTTGGCGTTCGTGCGAGTTCGTGCATTGGCTGTTAATGCCAATAATGGCCAGGACGAGCAAAAAATGCGAGTGACAAGTAATAATAATTAATTTGACACTCAACTTGTTCATGGATAGAAACAGATGCCTGCGTGCATGGCAAAAACACCTCCAATGAAAACCTTTTCTAAAGAAACTCTCCTACACTCACATTGAAATAAAAAAAAATACAAAGCTAGCCCTCCTCGCCCTTCTAAGTCCAGATACATGTAATCATGACGTTCTTTAGTGCTATATCATTTTTTACTTTTCTTGATCTTCAGAGACGTTGCAGGAAGGGACACATGAAAAAAGAATAGAAAGCATCCAGGACGTTACAATTATTTTGACTAAGCCCCCTCTTTTTTACTACATGTAGAAAAAAAATCACCTAATTACGACAGCAGAACCAGAAACCCACAAGTAGAGATATAAGCTGTTATACTCCGGAACTAATTCTTTAATAAAGACAATTCAGGATACATTGGAACCAGTTACTAACCCATGTTACAACAATAGTCCTATGACATAGGACTTCACTATATGAGGCGTGAACTTCATATTTAATACTATCTATAATGTGTGCTCTCACGTCTTATGCTGCAAATCATAACATTTAGGATTCGTAAATAGTTTTTTTTTGAAGCCCAACAGTAGTTCAATAATTACTATATGTCTTTGCATTAATAAGTATGGAGGGCATATTTCAAAACATATTTTATCTTCAGGACTTTTAAATGATTTACTTTTCAATACTGCATTGGGAACGGGGGGGAGTAGGTTCAAATTTAGATATTTGTTTAGAGATGTATATATGCGAGTATTGGCAGTAATGGTTATGGTGTGTGTGTGAGGGTAGGGGTTTCAGATCAAAGATCGTTTCTATAATTCTATATCTTTTAATTTTTACCATTTCACTCTATTCTTTATCCTTTGATCTCTATTATATTTGTCCTAAACATGCGTGACATATTTGCCACTGGACATAAGGCAACCAAAAGTCAATCAACGTATTCTGTATATTTCATCATTTCTTTATTATGTTATCTATAGGTTTGGTCCCGCCCCTTATCTATTTTTTGCACATTAGGGACGACATCAAAAGTTCAATGTAGGATAAAAAAAACTTAATTCATATAGTTTTTTTCACTGACCCCCTACCCCCCCCTCCCTCTTAACTTAATTTGGGATAAATTAATTGACCAATAAGGATATATATAAAATCGATGTTAATTAAACAAAACTTGCAGCAATTTTGACCCCCCCCCCCCAAAAAAAAAAAAAAACAAAACAAACTATTTGAATTAAGTTTTTTATCCTTCATTGATTTTCTGATGTCGTCCCTCATCCTCTCTATGTAAACCCAATTCATGTCCTGATATATGGTGACTCATGCATAGCAATGTCATATGTGGTTATTAAAACAAGAAACATATTCATATTATAATAATTAATGTATGCTAGGACTTATAGATAGATGTCATTAGTCCCAGGTCATGTAATAAAGTAGGTCTTATAAAAATACATTAGCATTTTAATTTTGAAGATTATATATATGTTTATATATTCAATAATGCTATTTTTTTGGAAAAAAGGGTAGGGGCAAGGCGTTTTTAAAACATATCAATGGGGCGCGTTTTTTTTTTTGTTCTTCGGAAGTGAGCCAGAAGAAGTCCATTTCTGTTTTATTTTTGCATTGGGAAGATCTTCTGGCTCTCTTCCACCTCTTCTTTTTTGATATGTTGACGACAGAGGGACATAACAAACATGGCGTCGTTTAGTCTAAATGAAATTAATAAATTTATGAATGCAGATATAATAGACGTGTTAGGAAAGTCAATACGATTTTGGCGCTGATGTTAAATACCAATACTACTATAGGCTATAGTGGGGACCATCTCAAAAAGCACAGATAATTAATCATTATGGTTACCAGTATGGGATTGTTTGATAATGCTGAGATGATTTTTCAACAATATAATATTAACAATTTATTCCGCAATATACCGACGAGGATACAGATAATCGACACGATCATTATTAATATTAATAATATAAAAATGCATTGCTTCATAGTAGTGATCGATTAAGTTTAAGATCGTTGTCCCCCCCCCCCCCCCCCTTTTCTTACTATTTTGTTGAACGACTGCAAGGAAAATCCGCAAAGTGATAAAAAAAGGAATAAAAAAACTGCAATGAAATCACATCCGAATCTGTTTTTTTACTCTACATCATTCTTTGTTCAATATGTTCGTTTATTTGAAATTAAATTAAAATATACTTATACTTTTCAAGTCGGGGCCTTTCATAGCTTTTATGCGGGATGGGTTTTGCTCCTTGTTGGGGGCCATACGGTGACCTATATGTGCCAACATTTACGTCATTTGGTCTCTGGGGATAGATGTCTACTTTGGCAATCATACATTGTACCACTTCCCTTATTTTATATCATATTTCTAAACTAGAGAAATGTGAAGCTTAAAATTCTAATAAAAGAACTGGAGATTTGTGTACTTGACAATTAAAAAAATAACAGAATGAAACAAAAGCGTATTCAATTTGATTATCTTTAATTTTTTATTTTTGTCTAGAAATGTCACTTTAATTTAATGCTGAAAAGGGACAATACCTAAAAAAAACTGTTAAAATGTGTAAATTATTTATTCTTATTCACATTTTCCCTGACATTTTCTTTCTATCAACTTTCATCTATTAGTTATTCGGACAGAAGAGGTTTTCGAATTAAGTTTTAAAAGATTACCACATTTGGACACTATTCAAGCATGTTAAATTTACGTTTCGGTGAAGGGTCGGAAGTTTTTTTTTCTTTGTATCACGGATTCCCAGTAGCAGCTTGGTCATTTTTAAGTGTTCGTCTGGACCTCAGCGAGGGATCTGAAGGCCCCAGCGAAACCAGGGCAGTGGACCTTCTGGTATGGATTCGAGGGGTGAAGCCCCCGTAGGCTAACAAGTTATTGAGAAACCGTCCACCTATTGTTATGCCATATAGGAGACACCAATTAAGACAAACACCGAGAAGGGGGGAAAAAGCTAAAAACTAAATAGAAAATTTCAGAGTGTAAACTTTAAGTCGAACACGCCATCAGACGTTTAAAACATTTAAGGTGGTCAGAATTTTGAGGAGACATCCAAGACACGAATTAAATCAAATTGTTGAATTGTGTGCTAGACTTGTGAAGAGACAAACAGTTATTTGACTATTAAATATATTCTACTCATGTCATTCAATGTATATATTTAGACTTTTGGCCGAAAAAAACCGTCATTCCCATTCTTAACCCTTTTATATATTTTTTTAAAGGTTTTTTTTTGCTCTCCTAAAATCAAAGAAATACAAATGAATATATGAAGATCTACGAAAGGCCCCTGCACACGTTTTAAAATTAGCAGTCGACGTTAACTGTTCGCTTTATATTGTATCAAATACACCACAAACGTAAACTATACCACGCCGAGATACTTTTCAATGCAAACGGCATCAATAAAAAATACTAAGTTTTATTTTTCACTCATTTTGGGTTGTAAATATACACAGTCACGTATATTTGAGTATTGAGTTTTGTTTTATATTATGATGTTCAGGATTTTGGATTAAATCAATAGACCAAAACTTACCTGTATTATTGAGCTATTTTTATACATATTATCAGTATTGTTAAAATAATTGACACCGAAGAAGGCTATTTGTTTAGCCGAAATATTTGTCAACACGATTTATTAACAACATCTTCGTATAATACCATCTTATATTAGTATCGTTGTGCAAACCTCTAGACTTATATAATTTTTTTCCTTATCTGCACAGTATCGTCTATTCTAGACGATCCGGTACATAGTAAATTTGCTGGTTGGTCCTTTTTATAGACTTCTAGATATATATGTATATATATATATATATATATATATCTGTAAATCAATGTTCATTTTGATACACGTTATACCAGGGAAAAATCACTTACGGTAATACCTACCTCTGCAAGAACAATAATCCTTTCAAAATTAAGCTTTAAATTTTCTGTAACAGATAATAATTTCTTATGTCTTACCTTCCTTTTAAACTCTTCTAGGTTGTAAAGGTTTGTCTGAACGGAGTATAAATTGAGGAACGTAAACACAACTTTTTGTCACATGACCTTATGTTATCATTTCCTGGGTATAAATATAGCTAACCTTTAAATCAAGACATCTACACTCTTTAAGAAATGTATGCATACCGATTATTACATTAAAGCCTATATATATAACTTAAGGTAGCACAATACAAAGATTTTTTCACCCCCAATCAGACAACTTTAAACTGGTATAATTTCTTTCATCCAGCTTCAAATTTTACAAATGAGGTAACACAAGAAAGAAGAAAGATTTATCTTTCAAATGATGTAAATTTCATTATGATATAATTATTACATAATTAATTATTATGTAATTGGTTGCTATATTGTGATGTCCACACTTGAATGAAATTAGCTTCTTTGTTATTCATAGCATCCCAAAATATTTTATAGATTCTTGTATAACACAGCTTGACCTCCAAAACCGTGTCTCAGACTTTTTCTAATGCATTTAATTCTCTCATAAACCTACAATGAAGTTTGCAACCTCATTTCATAAGAGTTCACTAAATTTAATTGGGTATAAAATTTGTTCTATTGATGTTTTTGGAAATCTGAGACATAGTTTTTAAGATAACTGGTCAAGGAACAACATGTGTGAAAATAAGGCTTATAGGGGCACCCATCTAGGAGCTAATTTCATTTAAAACTACATTTTCATGACAAAAATGAATGTGTTACAATTGAATAAATAAGGATTTTCCTACTTGTACCCCATTAACTTCAATATAATTCACATATGTACCACGGGGATACTTTAGGATTGGCCTTTAATCATAAATCAATTAGGTTTTGACCAGTAAGAAAGCATTCCATTTCAGCAATTCTAAATATATAAAGAAAATGCACACCCTATGCATCGAAAATCAGATCTGGCGGGAGATGTTATATCATTATTGACCTTGCTGTAAGTCAGTTGCTACTGATATGGTCAAAACTCCGCCCACCATTATAAACCTTTACTATTAATGATCTCTGAAGTTTGATTACACATTGCATTTACTTTTTTTCAATATGGATTATATTCATTTAGTACATAAAATAATATATTTTACCTTTTGCATTTTAAAAAAAAATTAAGTTATGCATGTATACACAAAATGATCAGTTGGTCAGTCTAGAGGATCCTTATGGGGGATTTTCAAGAATTATAATTGTATACAATGGCAATATGGTGTTTTACAAAAAGAAAGATTTTTTTTTCATTTTTGCAGTTTGAAAATGAAATATTTAATTTGTATTTTCTGTTAAAAAGAATTCATATTTAAACATTTTCTTCAAGAAATTTTAGTATAAACATCAGCAACATTAATTGTTGTACAATTATATTTGTTTAATAACTGTACATTTATTTTTTTATTCCCTCTATACCTCCAAATAGTTATTTAGTTTTTTCTCTTGGCAGCTCATAGGGTAGCTCCAATGTAGAAATGTGTCTTTATTTGGAATTCGTTATCTTCATTTTTCCATAAATCCTTAATCCACCGCTTTTTCATAACTGTTATTTTTATTGCTGGTCAGTGGTCATAAAGCTATCAAATTCTACTGAGTAACCACATAGTACTGCCCTCATGTTCTTATCTCGTATCAGTCAGACACGTGCATTTGTTTATAAAACTAATTATCATCAAAACTTATTAACAGTTCAAGTTATGTAAATAAAATTTTCTTCTGTGGTTTTGGAATATTAAGAAGTAACAAAAACAGCTGAAAATGAAATTTTGATAAAATTTAGTTGCTTTTGTATTGTGCTACCTTAACAGAGAAATTTAAACAATACGATTTTCTAGAAGATCACGCCAGTTTTGGTTTTGTTTGTTTGTTGTTATTTATAGGGGAGGGGGAGACGGTGTATTTTCTTTAATACGTTCAATTTTGGAGAATTTAAAAATATTTAACATTGAATGATTGCCAATTCTATATAGAACCCTTTTATGATCAGACCTTTTTTATTCTACCTGGGAGTGATCTTTGTTCCCAACACATTAATGTGTAGAAAGGTTTGAATGGTTTTACACTAGAAATTTTTGGGGCCCTTTATAGCTTGCTGTTCGGTGTGAGCCAAGGCTCCGTGTTGAAGACCATACTTTGACCTATAATGGTTTACTTTTATAAATTTTGACTTGGATGGAGAGTGGTCTCATTGGCACTCATACCACATCAGCTTATATCTATAAAAGAGAGGCAAAAAATACCAAAGGGACATTCAAACTCATAAGTCGAAAATAAACTGACAACGCCATGGCTAAAAAAAGAAAAAGACCAACAGACAAACAATAGTACACAAAACACAACATAGAAAACTAAAGACTGAGCAACACGAATCCCACCAAAAACTGGGAGTGATCTTAGTGCTCCGGAAGGGAAAGCAGATCCTGCTTCACATGTGGCACCCGTCGTGTTGCTCATGTTAGTACAAACCCGGTCATAAGTCTAATTCGGTAGGTCACATTCGGGAAAAGGGGACGGGATTGTAGTTACGACATTAGGAACATATCCGCTATCATCTGTGAAACGGATAATCCGTAACGGTCAACCAACTGCTGATGGCGTCCGTAAAATTTACGAAGGGATGATTTCAACTTCACCACTTGGAACTCTTGGTTTAATAGCTTCCTTGTGAGCAGCAACCCTCTTTCAAGGAAATCATGATAAGAAATACAAGCCCTGGAGTATCGTATAACCTGGGAGATATATACTCCGTATGCAGGCGCTGCTGGAATGTTGCTATATAAAAATGTAAAGTTCACAATCGGGAAGCTGAAATCATCTCTTTTGTCATAAAGTTTTGTTTTCAACCGACCCTCATTGTAAATTTCTAGATGTAAGTCAAGATATGAGGCAGACCTAACTGTATCTGTTGTATCCTTTATCTCGATGGGATAGATGCGTTCAACATAGTCACCAAATTTTGAATTATGTAGTGAAAGAACATCATCTTTGTAGCGGAAAGTATAGTTAAAGGATACTGCTAATTTTTCTTTCTTCCTATAAAGTTCTTGTATGAGGTCAGCCTCATATGAATAAAGGAACAAGTCGGGAAGAAGAGGGGCACAGTTGGTTCCCATGGGAATGCCGATTGTTTGTTGAAAAACACGTCCTCCAAACGTAACTAATATGTTTTCAACCAAGAAATCAAGCATCTTGATAATGTCAGTTTCAGAGGGATTTTTTACAAAGTAGGATTTATCAAAACATCCCTGTATTCAGTTCATAATCATCTAAAGCATAAGCTTATGACATTTAATATGCACAGCTTCAACTTTCTTCCAACACAACTGACTTCGGTTAAGAGTTTTGGCAAGTGATTGTTCACCCAATTAATCGTCCGTCCATGATATGTTTAACTACCTTTTTTTTGTAATATTACATCTTGCTTAATAAGGTACTATAACGCCTTATCAGTTTATTTGAACTACACAATTATATTTAAAGCAAAATGCAAAATTATGTTTCAATATAGACTAACCACTAAAGATGCAGATAACGACAAGTTCCCAAAACATGGCATTCAGCGAGATTAATCGGATTTAAGATCTTTACTAGGCTTTTGTATAAATTATTTTATACGACTGTCATACAAGTGAGAGGTTTAGCTAGCTATCAAAACAGGTTTAATCCACCATTTTCTACATAAGGAAATGCCTGTACCAAGTCAGGAATATAACAGTTGTTTTCCATTCGTTTGATGTGTTTGAGCTTTTGATTTTGCCATTTGATAAAGGACTTTCCGTTTTGAATTTTCCTTTGAGTACGGTATTTTTATTATTTTACTTTTTATTGAAATTTTATAGAGACCATTTTTGATTCAAGATTAAAAATATGCAGTATAAATAAACAATTCTTTATATTTTTACAGCATACATTACACACTGATTATTCCAACATGACTTTCTGAGAAAACAGATGACAGAATTATAATTACGACGAAGTATCCGTAGTTATCTTTGACACATTCTTGTCGTAAAGGCTAACTAAATCAAATGGCGACCATGAAAAATTCAAAATGCTATGGTTCAGTGAATATGTTGTCAGCAGCAATCCTCTATCAGTAAAAAAATTCCAGAACAAGGTCAAAACTATTAGCATAGTCCTTTTTTATGTGTTTCTGTAATATTGTTATATAAAAACGAAAGTTGGAGCTACTTGTATTCCCGTTCTTTTTTTATTCAGAACCGACCCTCGATGTCAAACCTATGGTGTAGATAGTGGTTTGAGACACTGTTAATTGTTCTCTCTGTATCCTATGCTTTAAAGGCACTGGAAAACCCGCACTTCTTTACTGACTTGATAAATAACAAATACTCTGTTGCTTAATTAAGAAAGCAAGGTCACATCTACCTCAGGCAAAGTGGACCTCAGATTAATTTGGATATTTTTATGTCCCTCATTTTTTGTTCTTTACATTGATTTGTCTCTTCTTAATCGATTAACGAGATTTGAACATCGGTGATTTATTGTTGCCTTAATTGATCATGTAGCTCCTCATATATTCATGTTTTATAAATCCTTGGCTTTCAAATGTTTGGGTTTGATAAAGGTAAATCAAGAAAAGTGCATCAGATTCTCGAAATGTACAAAGTGTTATTTTCATATAATAGCAATTAATTTTGTAATTTACATCTTATATGCAGCGGACTATTAAGTTAAGTACAGAGATAGCTTTTTATTACATGTTAGAAGCACTTCAAAGCAATACAAACATACAGGGAAAATTAATGAAATTAGAAGAAAACGCATGATAACGCTTTGATAAATTTTCCAAAGAACTAAGGCAGACGGACACAAAACATTATAGTCCGACAAATAAGGTAACATCTTCAGATAGTACACTATTATTATACAATGTTGTTTACAATAAATTGACAAATTGACAAACTCTATTTAAGAAATACAGTTTTCTTATGTGATCGGTGACCACCTCTGAGCTAAACTGTCCGGAATATAGTCTTTCAACAGTTCGAGAGAAAGTTTAAGTAATGCTTCTTGATTTTCACTATTTCTAAAAAAAAGATGAAGCATATGGATTATATCAGATTATACAGTGTCACGGCCATAGGAATATAAATTAAACAAAAATTTAAGAACGCAGGTTAAGCAAATCTGAGGCTCTCATCAAAAACTCATCAACGATACCATGCTAATGATTTTGTACGCCAGCATCTGTATCAAATTATTGTTGCCAGCTTGCACGTTAAAAATATTTCTGACCAAATTATAGATAAAACGTTGGATTAACAAATGCTATTTTCTGAATTTACTTTCAGTCAGTCAGAACCAAAAGCTGGTAGAGTAGATGATGTATAAATTTGTAGCAGTATTACTGAAACTTAATCCATTTCAGGATAATTTTGACTGGTGAAATGGCACACCTTGTTTTACAAAAATGCATCCTATCATCTGAATTTCGATCAAAATGCAAACATCGTCAATGCTAAAAAAATGATTTCTAACCGTCCTTTAAACAAATTATTGTGAATGAAAGATATTGGCAATGAATTCAAAACCTGTCTAACCTCGGGACGATTTGAAGCGTGACATATTGTAAAGACATTTGTCTATTGTTGAAATTCTTGTTTTCCTCATGATGTCATTGACTGGGTTATTGTGCTATTAAGTGCTGTTTAGTTTTAATATACTCAACAAATTGTTTTGTTCATATATATCATCTGCACAACAATGGTATGAGAAAGTTGAAAAAACTCCTTCCTTCCGATGCCAATTTATGGATAACTGATAATATGTTCCATTAGTTTTTTTGTTGTAAATTCTCTTTTTATTTTGTAGTGGAAAACTTTAAAAAATTTAAATTGCTTTTTTGTAAACACTGTTAGTAACTTCTTTCAACGCGAATTTCTTGATCATCAGTTGATTTGAATTTGTCGTCTTTCATGTTTTCTAATATAGAAATTTCATTTTTATAAAAGCTTATTTTAAGCGTACTTTTTTAGCCTCAAAAAATAAATAAATTGAAATACATCATTTTTATCGAATACTTCGGTATATGTTGTTTTACTCACACATTGTTGTCAATATAATGGAATTTTATGCGAATGTCATACAAGTGAGAGGTTTAGCTAGCTATAAAACCAGGTTAAATCCACCATTTTCTACATAAGGAAATGCCTGTACCAAGTCAGACATATGACAGTCGATTTCCATTCGTTTGATGTGTTTTTGCCATTTGTTGAGGGACTTTCCATTTTTCAATTTTCCTTGGAGTTCGGTATTTTTGTTATTTTATTTTTTATTACAAATTAAAAAGAATCAATAGTTGGTGTTCTATTTACAAAAGATGACTTATTTCTCATTTTAACAAAATAAAATTGTTTTTACCTTGACTGGCTAGCTGTAGTTTTTGGTTTACAATCTACATAGTAGACATCTCTAATTCCTTTTAGCTGAGGTGCTACTGCAGCGTAAATCTCAGTTTCTGCACCTTTGAAAGCATTTCTAGCGCAACCTAAAATGAATATAATGATAAATGTATACTAACTGACACATTAATTTGCCTGAAAAGTATTTTAACAGAAATTTATACTCAAACCAAAAACATATACCAAGAGGTCATTACAAAAACATTAGTTGGCGGACGGAAAATAGAATCATCAAAAGACAAAAAATAAATAGAGAAAGATCGGTTGACTAAACATTACACGGAAAACATAAGATTAAGCGTCAAGAACTTATCATAGACCTGTTGCGAACTCCGGTACTTCAGAAGGGTAGGCAATAATTTGTCCACTGGTTGCACACATCGTGATGCTAATGACAATCAAATCCGGCGACAAGTCGCTTTTGATAAATGTTAAAGAGAAATAAATCGATTTTCAAATAAAACTCTGAAGTGTCTGTTGAACAATCAATATTCATCTTTTAATTGGTAAATAGCATTGTAACTATATCCTTTGTCAATTAAGTCATTTAGCTAAACAGAAACTTCATAGACTGTCAAACCGAGCTAGAATAAAGAAATATAGCTGAACAATTTTATGGGAGTGGGTGGGAATGTCAATTTCAAATAGTTGTTATGACAAAAATATCACTTTTCTACTTAAAAGCGTAAGACTCACCAAATATTTAAAGTATTATCTTTAATTTGAAGAAGAGGCAGACAAGAGAAAATAAAAACAGATTTATATCGAAACAACAATATTTTCATCTAAACAATGTATAAGTTCCATAGTAAATAAAGCATGAATGAAGTCTAAATGGATATTAATACACAAGTAGAGGATAATGTTTCCTCTTTCCAAACTATGAACATCAATTGTATCAGCAATCAAAAACTGCAGAGTTATTATGAAACCACCTACTCCTGGTGATGTGTTAATCGGATGCGGATACTTAAAATTTCCACAAATCTGTTAGAGAAAATACAACCCAAGTCTCTTTCCTCTCAAAACAGTATAAACACATCTGACTTCTCTACCATTTACCTCATTCTGACATTAAAGACTGAAAGAGTTTGTCCTACTTTATTTCATAAACAAGAATAGCCAACGTAAATACAAATATCTTGTTTTAGGAAGGGAATTATCATATTTTGTAAAAACAAAAAACACTGATCCAAACAAAAAATTATCTGAGACTGTCATCATCAAGATGAATGATTGTTTTAATGGCAACATATCTATTAAGTTTGGGGACCGGGGTTTTCAATAAACAATCGTTCTCCTTTTCTTGCCGATTTGTTAATTTATTCATTCTCAGAAAGAATGAATCAAGGCGACCTTCATCCTTCTACTTCACGTGCCGCTATATAGATAATATCCTCTCACTAAACAAAGTTTAGTGGCAATGTTAAGAACGCATCTTTCTCATCGAACTTGAAATGAAGGATTCAGTTTAAACAGTTTAGTCTGTACAAATCTTTAAGAAAAAAGGAATGAGTTTAGCTTTAAATTGTGAAATTTCTATTTCTATGTAGCAACATTACAGCAGCGCCTGCTTATGGAGTATACATTTCGATACTTTTTAATCCTGATTTGAAATGAAGAACAGCAATAAAAGCGGTATTCCTTTGCTTTTTGTTTTTTCTTTGCTGAGCATGTACTGATTTTGTGTCATGGATGGATACCCCATATCCCTTGTTATTCTATTACAATAAGCAACACGATTGGTGTTTTTTTTGTGTACTTGTATGTCTGAAACGTTTTTTACCATGTCGTTGTTAGTTTATCTCGTTTTATGAGTTTTAACCTTTTTTAAAAACTCATTAATGAAGAAAAGGGTAAACAAAGTTCCAAAGAGTAAAGCATAACTTTTATTAATAGCCGACCAAAAGGTTAATTTCTGAATTTAACTAATCAGAGGACTTTTTGACAACTCAGATTGACACTACGTCTGATAACTTCGAAACATAAAGACCTATGTCACGTTTTTGCAAACTTCTGGACAGAAGAGAAAAAGAGATAATAAGTTCATTTGAACGCAATAAAAAGGTTGGTTATAATTTAAAAAAATGCATACTTACCACAGCAAATGAAGCATTTTATAATGGGCACAATACAAGCACCAGATTGGTGGAAATTCCTCTGAAATTCTGTTTTAACAATTCCAGGATGGATAGATAGGACTGAAACATTAGTGTCTTTCAACCTACTATTCATAAAATACATCTGCATAACCTGAAATCGTAATCGAGGAATATAAAATGATGACCTATGCATCCTACAGGAAAAAAAATAACATAACAGATTGTCGTATTTGGGATGCTGAGAGAAACGAATTAGTACCAGGATACAAGATTAATGTTAATTTAACAAAACAAAACAACTTACGACATTATATAAATCAAATAGTTCCTCAATTTTGCATTTCAGCTAGAACATGACACACAGCAAATAAAACCAATCACTTAAGAACCAAATCAAACTCATTTGAACTTTAGTGGATAGTTTTCTCATTGGAAATCATTCCACATCTCCTTATTTTTATTACAATATGTGTTTAGAAGAGTCTAAAATAAAAAGAAATGTTATATAACCACAACACACAAACAGTTGTGACCTTATACTGTAAATGATGACAGTATGATCGTTGTAACAGGCGAAATTGACAATTTGATGAATTTTATACTCTTCAATTTAGTCAAAGGACAAACACAGTTTAAGTATTTATATTTCCATTTCCAACAACAAAATCAATCATGTATGTTCAACTCTTTTATTTGAATGCTTCGCTTTTCTACAATTTGATTTAGCAGGACGCGTGTGCTGTCAACTGGGGAAAGGCATCCTAATTGAGCAATGCAATTTTGAATACTTTCATCACTTGACTTGATTTAAGATCTCATCAAAATGCAAGGTTATATCTAGATATTCAGGATTTGAATATTGTGGCTTACGTTACATGTGTGTTAAGACGCATAAAACCATAGAATTCATTTTATTTTGATATCTAGACAAACTTTAGTTATAAAACAAAATGTCCCTTAATGCATTCTAATGCAAACAAAAAAAGTTTCTGTTTTAGGGAAATGTTAAAGTGTTTCATGTGCAAAATCAATATACAGGTATAAAGATAAATGGACGTAATCACAAACTTCAATGTTCCAAACTGTGGTTTAAAAGGTGTGAATTCAATGGAATACTGCTGAGGTGCGGAAAAAACAACATCCCCGTAAAATTTATTTGTTTAAATGTTAATGCATCTGCATACCAAATATCATCCACTTAGAATAATTGGTTCCTGAAAAACTGACCTGACATAATCACAAAAGAATCTTTGATAGCTGTAATTTTGTATTGGTTTGAATGTGGGTTTGTAACAGTGGTTTCCAATCATTAATTGAACAAATCATATTCACCAAGCTACAAGAAGGACTAGATATAATACATATTCATCAATTTTGTCATTGCAACCATATGGTGTCGCAGTTCCCAATTGTCGAATCCAGTAGAATCCAGTAAATTATGGAAAAGTTTACAAGTCAATGTACCACGACTTAAGAGGCAGGGATAAATTATTACCATGGAAATGAAACATATTTTAATATTAATACAACTTCAAACTAAATATAATTTTATAACCATTAGTGGTTGATTTTAAACGGGCCTTATCCCAAACTTCGACAGTTCCAACGCCGGAAACAGCACGGACATAAAGTCAAACAACGAAAGACAACATCGTAGCTAAACAAAAATAAAAAGACAAAAAGCAAATACAACACATTATATAAAGATCCCCTGGAGATATAAAATGTATACAAAAAATCGAAATAACCAAATGAAAAGTCTAAATGATCTTTAAAAAAGGGGAAAACATATTGTCAATTATCTGAAAAGGCAGAATATTGTGAATGACAACAACAGAGAAACTCAACCTTTTTGAAATCTTCTCAAAATTTTTACATTACGGACAATGATTAAAACAAAGTTAGGTATACCAGACGCGAGAGGGAAAATTATTCATATATGTTATTTTACAGGGTAAAATTGATACTCATACTAGAAGTTTCTAAGATACAAACTAATAAAAAAGCCCAAACTATTCTTAACTCACAGTTGTAGAAAAACAATATGGGAAAAGTCGAATGTGATAACATATTTTAATTGATATTAATCTAAGAAGGTTATTGCAACGACATGATTAAAGTTCAGAGTATTTGGCTTAACGTTTTTTAATGTTTTATTTACGTATGTAAAATTGATTGTATACAAGTAAACAATAATTTAAATGTCTCTTTAAAGTTAAGATGAAAAATATAGTAAATATCTAGATTAGGAATTATGAAAATTTAGAAATGACGTTTACACATTTTTGTCGGTATCAAGTTCACCAATCTGTTAAACTGAAAAGTCATTTGTGTTCAATGAATTGGTTGCTTTACAAACAAGAGGTGCTAAAGAGTCTATGTCGCTCATCTAGGTTTATTTGCATTTTCGACAATTGACACTCTCCAACATTGTAGACTAGAGCATAATTCATGACTTAAATCTTATTTTTGTTGATCTTGTATTGCTGGTAATTTTTTCTGTTTACAGTTTATCTCTATCTTCTATAGTTTTTGCTCAAAACATAAAAGGGAAAATCTCATCATCAAAGGGCAATAACTCCTATAGGGTATAATGTAATGATTCTGCAATATCAACTTACTTGTAGATCTTGTCTGTCTGATCATATTTGCTTTTAAAGTTGCTATCTCTCTATTATAGCTTTCAAGAAAACAGGCAAAAACATCATTTATTAAAAGGATAATAACTCCAATAAGGAATCGAGTGACAATTTAGACCATTTGACTTTTTTGTAGATCTTGTCTTGCTGATCTTTTTTGTTTTTTAAAGCTTCTACTTATCTATAATAGTTTTCAATACAACATAATAGTCAAAAAACGCATTTAAATGGTAAATATGGTCTTACTGATATTTTTATCTTTAAAGTTGCAATTTATATATTATAGTTGCCAAGCTTTTAGGCACAAAAATTATAAAAATATTAGAATTTGTCTTTTAAGGACAATAACTCCTATAAGAAGTCATCTGATAGTTTTAATGTTAATAAACAGTTGGTAGATCTTAACATTCTAAACTTTTGTTAAACCCCCTCTATAGTGGTTTGCAAGATACTAGTAATAGACAAAACTTGCATTTTACCTCTATGTTCTATTTTAGCCATGTCGGCCATTTTGGTATGCAGGTTGGGTTATCAAACACCAAAAAAAAAAAAAAAAATTCCAATAATGATTGTAGCCAAGTGTGGTTGAATGTGGCCGGTAGATTTTTTAAAAAGTTAACAGACGACAGGTGACGAGCAGCAAGTGATGTGAAATGCTCACACTGTCTTATTGGGCCAGGTAAGCTAAACAGAATGACTAGGTCAAATGAATCTTCTACATTTAGAAGGCTGACATCTATGACATGGTTGAAAAACCCTACATACATACCTGATACAGTTTACTATAAGCATAATATCCCATTTCGTCATAAGAACTTTTTTTCAAATCTTTTCCTTGAACCTTTGAAATGTCAAACTGTGGGGCAAAATCATGTACACTACTTGACACCATTATTATTCTACAGTCGTCTGAACCGGAATTTTCCATCAAAGGTATCAGATGTACACATATAAGGAACTGGCTTAGGTAGTTGGTCTGTAAAATAGTCACACGAGTCTACATCCTTTTATATTTGTTTAGTTTTGTTTAAAACCATTTTCAATACGACATTATTAAGATGTATTCTTTTTCCTTCTTTTGTGTTATTGAATAAAGTATTTTCAAGTTTTTATTTTCATTATACAGTAACAATGTTTGTTTACAACTCGTCGAAATAATAGAAGATACATTTCCATGTTTATTCGTTGAATATGTATAAGTTGAGTCCTGACACTTTTAATAGCATTAGTCAAGACCCAAACGAACAAATGATGGAATGGCAATAGTGGACATCGAATGCAATTGAGAGAAAACAAAGCTCTGTGGTTTACTGAGAAAGCATTTCCGGTTGTGAAAACACCACCCGCCTCACGTGCTAAACTGCCACATATGGAGAAGGATCTGCTTACCTTTCCGGAGCACCTGAGATCATCCCCGTTTTTTTGTGAGGTTTGTGTTGCTCTGTCTATAGTTTTCTATGTTGTGTGTTGTGTGTTGTGTACTGTTGTTTTTCTTATGGTCATTTTCTTTTTTTGTCATGGAGTTGTCAGTTTATTTTCGACTTATGAATTTAAATGTCCTTTTGGTTTCTTTATCCATGTTTCGTGTCGTTAGTGGTTATGTCTCATTGACACAAACCCCATAACTCTGTCATCTTCGATTATTAGAGAGTAAACAGCTCTCTAGAAGTTTTGAAGGCGACCATAAAAATTGTGAAGTTACAAATTTTGACGTTCTGTTCATAACAATGTTTTATTGTTTTTTCAGTATATGTCTATTCCCTGTATATGAGTACACGATCCGGCTTATTATTTAATCTGAGATAGAAAAATCAGCCTTGTGAATTTAGAACAAATTTGTTTTTCTTTCTTTCGTCCTTGTTGGAACTTGTTCTAATGGTTCAACACTATGAAAATCATTTTTGCTATTAAAAATGTGTTTATATCTATTGGAGTTTTCAAAATATTAGCCAACAACGACAAAAATGAGTAAAATAATCATCATTTCAGGGCAATAACCACCATAAGACTTAAGGAATCGACTTACAATTTACGCGTTGTAGATTATTTATAGATCTTTTCTAGATGATCTTTTGTGTTGTTTAAAGTTTCTTTCTATTATAGTTTTTAAGATAAAGCCAAAAAAAAAAAACACAAAAAAAAAACACAAAAAAGAATAAAAATTTTCCTGTTCTTGAAGAGAAATAATTCCTATCAGGAGTCGACTGACGATTTTGGCCACTTATTTGTAGATTCTACTTGCTGATCATTTTTGCTCTTAATAATTTCTCTATATCTTCAATGGTTTTCGCCAAAGAGGAAAATGGGTACAAGTCATCAATAAAGGATGATAGATCCTATAAAGAATCATCCAACGAATTAGGCTATCGTTTAATGTCTAGCTGATTGCTTTGCTGTTTAAACATTCTCTATATCCTTTATAGTTTTGAGATAATAGACAAACGCAAAAATATGTAAATATCGTCATTGAAGGGTAATTTCTACAATGAGGAGTCGACTGACCATTTCGAACATTTGAATTATTAGTAGATCTATTACAGCTGATTGTTTTTTTCTGTTTAAAAATAAAGTTTCCTTCAATCTTTTATTATAGTTTTCAAGATTATAGCAAAAGAAGCAAAACATGGATGAAACACGTCAATGAAGGACAATAACTCCTAAAAGGATTCGGCATACGCTTTCTGTCATTTTTACTTACTTGCTGATCCTACTGTGCTCATCATTTTTAGCCATTTAACGTATCTCCTTAACTACTATATAGTGATTGCCAAAAATGTAAAAGATGGTTGAAATCATAAATAAAAAGCAATAAATCATATGAGGAGTCAACTGACAATTTTGACCATTTAAAATATTTGTAGATCTTGTCTATGGCTGATAAATTTGCTGTTTAAAGTTTCTCTCTTTTAGTTTTCAAGATAATAGACAAAACTGAAAACTTGGATGAAAATCGGGATTTAACTGCAATAACTCCTATAAGTAGTCGACTGATTTCAGTTATTTCATATGCTGTGTAGATTTTCATTTCTTCTGGTTAAAGATTCTATCTATCAATTAAGTTTTCAACATATTTAAAAAAAAAAACTGTAAACTTATAAAAAGAAAATAAATTTAAGGCAATTATTCCAAAATGGTTTGTCCGACTGTTCTTAAATTTCAGGGTAGATCTTTTTTTAACAACTCCTGTTACCATGTCAAATTTGCTTTAACTGTTTTGCACAGCCAACACTCGCAGTTTTATCCATATGTTCTACTCTTACATGTGGTTTTTGGAACAAAAACACGCCATACATTATTATTTTGAAGAATATTTTAAGAGCAGTTTACGACATACGACGACGACGGACACAAGTGATCGCATAAGCTCACATAACCCCTAAAGATTAGGTGACCTAAAACACAACATCATTAAGTATATTAAAGTAACTTCTTTAAAAGAATAGTACCTGAAATAACAATTCGTTTCCGTCTTCTGTAAATTCTGAAAATCAATAAATAGATAAATTAACGCTTTTTTGATAATTTGTTTCAACTTTTTTCTTTTGTTCCTCGCTTTTTATATTGAAGGAATCAGAAAGGTCTTATTGTAAAATATAAAAAAATATATATATATATTTCATGCAATTTTGATAAATAGTTTTTTTACAACATTGTGCTTAAGAAAACGAATGCTGGATATATTATCTCAAATATTTTATTTGCTAACCTACATTTCTTGTGGCATGCACCATGCAAAATGTTAGTTTGGGTCTCGTTAGTCCCTTATAACATTGAAACCTTGAACATTATGAAAAAAGCATTATTCTAATACTACTGAAAGCTATTACAAAGACGAACCCGCTGACAAATCTTATCTAGATCATACAAAAAAACCTCATTAGAAAAGGGTAATTATTTGCGCCTAAGATCCTTCAAAGCCAAGGAACTAATAGGTACGAAAAATCTTTTCATAAGGTACTTATAAAATCTCATCACATTCCAAATGAAAGAAATCTCATTAAGTTGAAAATTTACAGCAACCGTATGAAAGTATTATTTTTAACCCTTTTGGTCAAATATATAGATCACACATCTGATTGAAAAGCGCAAACAGAAATTCTAGAATGCAATGGTCAAGGGGAGGGGGAAGGCACCAAAATTTTGATGAAATATATAACAGAAGATAATGACCAGTTACCATCTGAATGATTTGTTATTTTATACACCGTTGTATGTTTAAGGTCATTAAAGTAATAACATATAGACATCTACAATTCAAATTTTTGAGGGGAACTTTCTTTAAAACATGTCTTAGATATTTTTAACATAAATCTTCTATCTAATTTTCTGGAACAAAACTTGATTAAATATTTGTATTCTCATGAATAGAAATCTTTATTATCAGTTTCATTGGTCAACAACACATTTGATCACAGGACAGTTTCCTATATTCCACGAGTTGTGCAATACAAAGCGTCATAAGATTTTAAGCAACAGCGAATTCCTAATTCGAATGAGTATTGCTGATAGAAATATTTCATGTGAATTCCATCGAATACATTAGCAATGCAAGAAAGAGGTCGCTTATAAAGTTCGTGTTGGTCAGTCTTTAGTTTCTATGTTGTGTTTTGTATACTGTTCTTTGTGTTTTGATCTTTTTCTTTTTTATCTATGGCGTTGTCAGTTTATTTTCGACTTATGAGCTTGAATGTCCCTTTGGTATCGTTCGCCACTCTTTTATAAACCTATTTACTATGCACTCCACATTTCCAAGAACATAACTCATTTTAAATCTTTTGTATGCAATAATTTTATGAATACTTGACGAGCTATATAACCAAAATAAACCTACTAATATAGCCCAACCATCTGAGGTGAACTTTGCCTTAGGGAGTTGGAACCTTATTGTGTAATATAGACATATCAATACTACTTAACAAAGAAACATGCTTTTTACGTGTATGTCTTATCTTTATGTACTAGATTATAATGATAAGCTGACATTATGTCCTGAAGTTAGCATGGTCGGTGTAGTTGTTATTCTCAGTTACTGCATTATTTAGTGATGGTCTTGAAAAAAGCAAGATTTTTGAGTGTTTTAGACATCTAATTCGGTTTAAGGTCACGATACAATACCAAATTTCAACATATTTACAATACTTCTTTTTCCCATGTAAGCATATGGTCACCAAACAGCAAAGTACAACATTGTACATAAAGAAACATAAATTTGACCAAAAACCATTCAAATTAGTTTAATTGATTGATCGATGTTTGTTTTACGCAGCCTCAGCACAAAACGGCTATATGGTCATTTATCGCGACTACTAGTCAAATTAGTCCAAGACTAACAAAACTGAGTAAATGGCAATCACAATAAATACGTAGAGAAATTGAACGTGACAAAATTGTTCAGACATTATCAACATTTGTAATTACTTTATTTACTTAATCAGATGGCAATGCAAATAAAAAAAAATACTACAAAACAAAACTTTACAATCCAATTCACATGCTTGCGATTTCGCAGGTGTCTTCTTATATCTATTAACTTACCTAGTGGAAGAAAACCCAAACCAGCATTACAAACTAGTGTGTGCAACTTTTGACCAGAAGATTTAAAATTTTCAATAAATTTCTTAGTAGACTGTAGGGAGGCCAAATCAACCTGCAAAAATGTAACATCTATATCGCCATCTTGGATGATTCCTTTGGTTCCCTTTTGTTTTTCTGTAGAGTATTCCTCTTTCATTCTTTTTATTGCCTGTTACATACACATTAAATTAAATGTGACATACACACATACTTTATAAATAGTGTTAAAAAGATAATAAAGATTTCAACATGATGTGGTTGCCGCAAATTGACATCAGGTCAATTTAGCCGATTGATAAGAAGAGCTCTTCTACCAAAGAAATTTTCATATGGTAAGCTCTTGCATAAAACTTTCACACGGTCAACTTTAACTACACATTGAAAAATAAAAACGTTTTATTTGCTCCAGTTTGATTATAAATTATTTTCAATTAAACCTTTTAGGTCATCTTTCCTTTAACGTATGTAAATAGGCATCCTGTTCCATCATTTGTCATCAAACTTTGATATGGATCCACATTTAAATGTTTGCAAAAGATAAAAACTCCAGTTCGATTATAAAAAATAATTATACAAACAGTTGTAATTAAACAATTCCTTTCTTTTGGCAATTGAGTACAATTTGAAAAAAGATACTTTCTGTGTGTAAAATTTACCAGATGTGTTTCTCTCTCCCCCAATAATTATATTCAAACCCTAACTTGAAAATCGTTTACCTCCAACGCTCTGGTCTCTGATCTACATGCAATGATGACCTTCGCACCCAACATAGCGATCCACTTTGCAGTTTCATACCCAATTCCTAAAAAAAAAAATCATTTGAATTAACAGTATACGACCTGAAGTGATCACCAAGTTTTTTTTAACATAGATCAATTTTTTATACTGGTAATATATAAACGAAATAGTCCTAACGCTAACGTTATTTTGACGTTAAACACCTGCGTACATGAGAAAGAGGCGCATGAATGTGGTTTCACTACTATGAACTTCATTCTGTAATTTGACTTTTAATATTTATCAGGGATATTCGTAACTGTAATGAAACCATGTGTGTTTCGAACAGTTTTTGACGATTCAACAGTGAAAGGCTTAATAGATAACTATTTATGTTTCGAACAGTTTTTGACGATTCAACGGTGAAAGGTTTAATAGATGATTATTGAATACAAACTCAATGCACACTTCATCAATAATTATCAAGGTATTCTATACCATGTTTACTTATATAATTTATATTACTTGGATGAGAACTGACATGATTAAATGAAAACACTTAAAACACAGACGAATTTATAAGAATGTAAGTAAAATTGGTTGAAACAATACGTTAATGCCTGAAGAGTCAAGCAGTGGCAATAATTACTTTCATTAAAGTATCTTAAATAAATAAAATAATTTATAAACGGACATTTTAAATATGGATTACTGATATGATGAAACCTTCGGGGACTGATAGTTCACCGGCAGCGTTATCGACCCAGTCCTATAAAAAATGAAAACAAGACTTAATAAATTCCATGCGTCCGAATGGCTCTTCTGGGTTTACCTTCATCAGGAACGCTCAAAGCCGAATATTTAAAAGCCAAGGATCGAATCAGCTGATGAGCTATATTACCAAAAAGGACATAAAAATGATAGCCAAAGCTATCTAAGGTCAATTTATAACCTACGGTCGTGAATGTCATCGATCCCTACAATGGCTACATTGATCACAAATAGCTCAACATGTGCTCATATTGAATAGAATCGAGTTGCCTCTCATTAAATTTCAATATCGAGGTCTGGTCAATCAGTTCAATCTTTGTGCAATGTGACAATACGTTTGTATATAATGTGTATAATACTATAGTGTTTTGTTCTCTATTGTCAAATTATAAATAAGTGTTAATCAATGAGCCTCTTGTTACAGTGTAATGACTATGTATTATTAAAACTTTAAACTTAATTACAGATTGATTTGATAAGTGTACCTTTAATTGTTTTACATTGTTTATTCCATTGTTTTAACAACAAGCAATTATCATTGTATTTTACCGTTGCTGTAAAAGAAAAACCATGACTATTTGAGTTGCAACTATAATATTTGATCATTTAGAATGTGTTGCGCGCATAACTTGTGCTTTATACTGTTACTGATACTATACACTTTGCATTTAGACAGTCAGTGATTGTAGAAATCAGGGCTATATAGTGACTGTCTGTTTAAAGCATTGTCTGTGGTGTTGGTAATGTTTTTTCCGTAGAATGTTATCATTGACATTCATATTTTAAATGTGTTTACTCAAAATATATGATTTAATGAAAACACTTAGAATACATACGACTTTATAAAAATGCAAGTAAAATTGGTAAAAATAATATTCTAGAGTCAGAAGAGTCGTTCAGTGGCAAATGTTCTTTCATTAAAGTATCTTAATACATGTATACAAAAACAGAATTTTGCATGATTCGGCATAAAGGCTTCCATGAGTGATTTTTTTTTTGCAAATGTCTTTAAAACATTTGTTCACCTAAATTAAGATCAAAGTAGCCATCTATCGTTACCCGACTGTGATACTTATGACTGAAAAAAATATCTGGTACAAATAAAAAAAAGCTATATTATTTTTGCAAATTTTCTTGAGATAAACATATATTCTGGCATTTAACCGCACAACTTAATGACAACAAGCCTCCTCTCCGCCGTTATCTGGGACTTGTTTGAATAATAAAGCAAAGAAAATGTATTCTTTACTCACCAGTGTTACCACCTGTCACAATGACAACCTTGTTTCTATCTAATGGCTCTCTTGGGAATGACGTTCCTCCTCCCATCGTGTAATCTTTTCAAATAGCTTGCTATCTACGAAAGTAATGTTCTCCGTTTCCTCAAATTAAATATACGCCCATACACTATATATTATTTACAACGATTTGAATGTCACTCTAACAATAGCCATTGAAAAGGTTTGTAGGTAGAACGATACAATTAGGTAGAACGAAATAATAAGGTAGACATGTAAAATTAAGTAAAACACAGGTAGGTAGAAAAATAATCGATTTGTTTTACCTTATATGCTCTGGACACTTATCTGTATATAATTAGTATTAGTAACTTGAACTAATTGCCGATATGTCATATGATATGTGATAAACCCAAAAAACAGCGGCACCCATTAAAACATTTATATCTATATTTCAATCAATACTTCTTATACTGCGATTTTTTTCTATATGAGGTAAACTTTCACAGTGTGTATCATGGTGATAAGGAAACCGTATATAGCACTGAAGGTGATGTAAAGTACACATATTAAAAAATCTAATGTACAGTAACTTATGATTCACTTAATCTTCAACTAAAACCCATAAGCTTTGAAATGATTTACCTGTAATCATTTTCTTCTAAAAAGTTTTTAAGATTGTATTATAATTGAAATACCGTAATTGACTTCCCCTGTATTTGTTTCCTTCACGGGGACCATAACGGTATTTATCTAATGATATCTAGATTAAGGAGCTATTCCATAATCGCAACAGAAATTTTTATCACACTTTTGATCGATAAAATGGGAGCTCATTTCGAGCAAACTGTTCAGAACAAAAAAAAATGACGGTATATAAGTAAGGTAATGCATATTTTCATTTTTTTAATGTAGTTAATATATTAAGGTTGAAGAAACACAATTCATTGAAAGTGAAAACATTTACGGGAGATGATACACGCGTGCATTACGCTTTTGGTGGGAATTTACGGGGCGAAACATTAATATCTGAATATGAATTGTAACTGCTAGTTTGAAACAATAATTCTTTCTACTTTTCATGCTTTTATTTGTAAATTTTGAAATATAATAAACTTTCATATGATTTATATAAAGTCAGACAACAACAACAACAAAAATATAAAAAAATAAAAAAATAAAAAAAAAATATAAAAACCATTAAAAGTGAGTTTCAAAGAATTCTTTTATTCAAATTAAAAAAACTTGTCTTCTTATAAAAATAAGAAGATGAGGTACGATTTCCAATGAGACAACTATCCACCAAAGTTTAGATAGAGTGGATGTAAGCAATTATAGGCAACCGTATGGCCTTCAACTATGAGAAAAACCCATACCGTATAATCGGCTATAAAAAGCCTCGACATGAAAAATATGAAACAATTTAATTGAGAAAACTAACGGCCTAATTTATAACAAAACAATTTACGAAAAACAAATATGAGAGACATGAACCAACGACAACCACTAAACTACAGGCTCCTGACATCGGACAGGCTTATAAGGAATATGGCGGGATTAAACATGTTTGTGAGCGCTCAACCCTCCCCTAACCCGTGACAGTGGTGTAACAGCACAACAAAAGAACAAACTATAAAAATCAGTTAAAAAAGGCTTAACTCACCAGATCGATACAAAGCAGTAAAACATCAAACATAAACACAGACCGGACGTGGCAGGGTATTTATCCATCCCTCATCCATAACAACAAAAAGGACATTAAGTACAGATCTGAGAGTAGTTACTGACAGCTAGTTCAAAGCCAATAACAACTAATAAAAAATCATGTATCTAAGATTAAAATATCAATCAGTGCACATCCAACTTCCAATGGATTTAGTGTAAAGACGTCATTAACAGTCCGAGAAAAACATGACCTTGTGCAATGCCAAAATGAAGGTATCAACAGATTGTAGTACCATTAAAGTGCATATGTGTATAAAAAAACTATTCTTAGTTGCTTTATCTGCATCGTGCATTGTTCATTATATAAACGTATACATTACTTGGCAACAGAAAAGGATGTTAAAACTGTATCATATACTAAATAGTGTAATGATCTTTGCACCTGACTGAAGTAAGAAATCATATAAGGATACGTAAGTTTCAACTAACATATTTTTGTGACATGCTGCAGTCATATTGACTCATTTTATATTTTAACTTTCTTAAATTCTGTGTTGATAAATTTATAAATTGTTAAGTGACTAAGGTCCTAAATTCCTCAAGCAAATATGAACTCAGTTGGATTTGCTATTCTTGTGTTCATAAAGCTCCACACGAATAAAAGTACTTATGCATCCTATGCTTTCATATTGTGGGTTCGAGCGTACCCGACGATGGTAAATCCAAAAAAGCGCTTTGGACGCACAACATTAATAAAGATAGATTATTTTGGTTTAAAAGTTCTAGCCCTTCGAAATAAATCTGAAAGTCTTTAAATAAGACTCCTTAATGGCTATAAATTAATATTATAAAGACGAAAATTACTGTGTAGGTGTGTTAGCTAGGTGACATAGCTAGATAATACAATTAATTATCTAATTACTAACACAATTTTATATTAATAAGTATTGTAATTTTCATTGTTATTAAATACATAAATACATGTAATATCGGTATTACAAACCTAATCTTTAACTCTATCCTATTTTTTGGAAATTTACATGTGACGTCACTTTTGTGCGTCGATCTATTCGGCTGACATACAATGTGTTGTTCGGCTGTGCTGTTTTTATGTGCTGATCTAGGTTGTTTTGCGTATTCGTTTTTATTCTGTAGTTAGTCACCACTTCGGTGTTAACATTTATATCAATTATATGGTCATTTTTATATTTTATAAATTTACTGTTTGCAAAAATATGAATTATTCTAAATACTAAATATTTTCTTATCCCAGGCAGATAACCTAGCCGTATTTGGCACAACTTTTTGGAATTTTGGGTCATCAATGATCTTCATCTTTAGGCCTGGCACCTTTGATAACTATTAGCTTGTCGTAATGTTCTATTGTATTGTTTATTTGTGTGTTTCTCTGTCCTGTATGTTCTTCCATTTATTTGTATTGTAGTCCTGTCATGTAATGTTGTCATTTTAGTGTTATATATAACATTGCCACTAAAGCGGGAGGTTTGGCTAGCCACAAAACCAGGTTCAACCCACAATTTTTTCTTAAAATATCCTGTACCAAGTCAGGAAAATGGCCATTGTTATCTTATAGTTCGTTTCTGTGTGTGTTTCATTTGAGTGTTTCTGTTTTGTCTTTGTTCTCCTCTTATATTTGATGTGTTTCCCTCAGTTTTAGTTTGTAACCCGGATTTGTTTTTTCTCAATCGATTTATGAATTTTGAACAGCGGTATACTACTGTTGCCTTTATTCACCACCAATTCATCAAATCAGCATTCAACAACATTTTGAAATAGAAGGCCTACTCTGACAATACATATTTTTGAAGTCGATGTTTACTTAAACTCTATGTAACAAATATATTTGCATAAATAAATCTTACTATGTATTTGGATGAATTTGATCCCAAATCTAACAGTAAACCTTTAGTAGCCGTGCTACACAATATTCTCATCGTAAGTATTCAAATAATCAGAGTGCTGTTTAAGTAGTAGATGACTTCCAGGACGTCATTTTTCACTTATTGACTAAAATTGGCATACTGATGTACCCACAGGATGTTATAAGTTACACAGTGTGCTACTAATAACATTATACGTGTACATCAATATTCCAATTTTAAGTCAATAAGTGAGACACCTGTGCAATTTAAAAACTGGTTGAATATATCACGATTTTTATCTCGAAATTTTTATATACCTATATGGAGTTATTTCCATTCAGAACGACAGTCATTCTTCTGAAGAAACAACCTGGACGATACCATGTTTCAATACAATGTGCTTCAAGGCATTAAATAATGACTTGTGTCAGGTCATTATTTACCCTTATTAAAATGCAAACTACAGAGTACTAAATCATTTAATTTGTGTGTTGTTCGCGATTTGGGTTTTACTGTACACTTTTCTATCTTGAACATTTTAAAAAAGTTTAGGCAGAAACATTCCTTTCCTCCGTTTATTAGGTTGAACTGAACTCCCTGTACTCTGTTAAATGACAAAATATTCCTTTTATTTTATAGGGGAACAGCCACGTTCTTTAAAAGTAGGGGATTATAGTATTTTATTCTGATTTTTAATTTTTGAAGAATAAATTGTATTGCCAGACATAAGAGAGAAAACAATTATTATGAAAAGTTTGTTAAAAATTGTTGAAAAAATAATCTGCTTTTCCGCGATTAAAAAAAAGATGGAAAAAAAACTAGAATTGTTATTGCAAGCAATAGCGGATGTCACCCTTCCCCCATTGCCACTAAGCAGCTGCCATTTCAAAAATTTCAAACAGTGAATGCACAAATATGCTTGGCTATACATCTTTCTGTAAATTTTCAGAACATTTGGAGCATTTTGAAACACATATTTGCTGTTTCCATGGCAACAGCCGCCATTTTGGAAATTCAAAAGTCAAAAGTCTCAACTTCACTTGTCAATCAACATACATAATAAGTGTCAATAACTTTGGAGCATTTTGGAATTTTGGACATTTTAGCTGTTCCCAAGGTAACGGTGACCAATTCCAAAATTTTAAAGACCGGTACCCCATAGGTACATGAGAGGGAACATACCATTAAGTTTCACTGGGTTTGACTTACCATATTACGAGAGGAAATGTTCATTGAAGGTTTAAGAAGGGTTTTAGAGCATTTTGACCTTTTTTGTATTGTTACCATGGTAACGGCAGCCAATTTGGAAATTCCAACACCAAATGCAACATCTACAAATGCCGCTCATCATTACTGTGAAGTTTCATCAAGTTTGATGCATTTTGATTTTAGGATTTTCATTTGGTCCTGTCATTGGTCCAGTCATTAGTGTAACCCATTCTTGGATAATACTTTGTGAGAAAGTTTTTGATTGTTTGACAAAAGTGCAAAACTTATCTTTAACGCGTTAGTTTTTACAACCAACGCGTTGAAAATGATAACCAACGCGTTGAAAGTGAAAACCAACGCGTTGAAAGTGAAAAACAATGCGTTGAAAATTTCATGCGGTATGTTTATACCGCCAATGTCAATGACACGAACGGCAACTCATACATATCAGTACCCACTGTAGTGTTCAATTTTTCGCTATTACACCCAAGTATTTCTGATGGTTTAAAAGTAAATCCTGCTGTTTTGAAGAAAAGACTTGAAAGTAAATAT